TCCCCAACCACTCTATGATCCAAAGTATAGGGGGAATCCTTCATCACTAGACACAAAAGTGTCCAAATAAATAAACAAATATTGATTTTTATAGTGGCCTCTATTTTTCTCAGATTATTATTCCTTTTATTTTTTTTATATCATGGTAATTTCCTAGAAAACCTCATCCTCTTAATTACCTTTTTAACAGAGAAAAAAAAAGATTTAAAGAAAGGTTTAATAAACTATAAATGATAAGCCATCTAATATTCCACACATGTACTCCCCCTGACTCTTATTGCCAGTAGGAGGAATACAAGCTTTATTAGCTATTATCCAAGACCAAAATGTGTTAGTGTAATTAAACTCAGCTGAGCTTCTTGATGGGGGGGGGGGGGGGGGGTTCGGTTTAGCAAATGGCAAAAGATGGTTCATCATTCTTTCCCTTTTCTCAATTCATAGAAAAACTTTCCCAAATCTCTTTCATTTCTGATATCCTTATACTATAATATTTAATTAAAGTCCCAAAACAGTATGTGCCTAGTTTTTCACTAATGGCTACCCAGTTTCACTCCAGGTTTTGAATATTTGTTTTGCTTCTGAAAGTGTGCTATGAATGTTTTGGTATCTGTGGGATCTTTCTGTCATTGACCTCCTTCCAGTATATGTTACAAGAGTCAGACTGCTGATACAAAGGGAATGAATAGTTTCACGATTTTTCTTGCAAAATTCCAAATGGATTTTGAAAATGGTGGATTAATTAAAAGCTTCATTATAAGAGAAACATTGTTCTTGTGTTCTTGAAGGAAATCCAACATTGATTAGTTCTGCTTTTGATCATTTTTCCCTTAATTAATTGGGTATGAGGACAAAAGAGACAATTGGATTAATTTTCATTTATCCTTTAAAAGAATAATTTTAATGAAATCTGCGTTGATATAATTTGGTATATTAGGGGCAGTAAGGTGGCACAATGGATAGAATACTGCTCCTGGAGTCAAGAAGATTGAAATTCAAATTTGAGCTCAGAAATTTACTATGTGACTATGTGACTGAGTAGGTCACATAATGTTTCTTTGCCTCTGTTTCTTCATCTGCAAAATGGGGAAAGTAATGGCGCCTGCTTTTCAAGTTTGTTGTGAGGTACAATATTCTGTATTTTCTTCACATATATGGCACACTTAAGCATATTCATGCATGCATACAGACATATATAGGGGTAGGGGCTTATGTGTATTTGTATGTATGTATGTATGTATGTATGTATGTATGTATATATATATATATATATATATGAAATAAGACTTTTATCAGAAACATTCTAGGCAATTTTTCAATAGATATTTTTATCATCACATTAAAATTATTTGTCCAAAATATTCTCTTTGATGTAATTGAATTGCTTTAATGTTCATGATCTTTTCTATGTCGTTTGAGTAGAGATATTAGGTGTCTTAGCAAGAGTACTGATCTTGCATTCAAGAGGACGTGGGTTCAGATCCTGCTTGTAATATTTACTAGTTCTGGGAACCTTGGTAAGTAACTTAATCTTTGTCTATCTCCTGTTTGTGGTTGTTGTGAAGTCGTGTTCGACTCTTTCTAATTTCATTTGGGGTTTTCTTGAATAATATAATCAAGTGGTTTCCCATTTCTTTTCCTAGCTCACTATACAGATAAGGAACTGAGTCAAATAGGAGTAAGTGCCTTGCCCAGTGTCACACAGTTAGTGAGTGTCTGAGGCCAGAGTTGAAGTCAGGAAGCTAAGTCTTTCCGCCTTCAGTCCCAACACTCTATCTACTGTGTTCCCTACCTACCTCTGCCTTATTTTGCTCAAATAGAAAATGAAAAACCATTTGAAATGCTCTCTTACATATGACTTACTCTCAGATATATTCCCTATGGAAGTCAAACATAGGGGAAAGTCTATTAGATACAAACAAAACTGTAGCAGCCCTTTGATCACAAAGAACTTGAAAGAAAAGTGTGCTTATTCATTGAAAAATAGTGCTACGCATTTTAATATAATATCAAATTATAATAACATACATACATGTAATTACATTGTCATTCATTAAAATGTTATGAGGATCAAATGAATTGGGACTGCTATTGGCCTTAAATCACTGTATGTAAATGCTAGTTACTATTATTAGCACTTGTGTGTTTTGATTACAAATGAATGAGACAGAGTTGGGGAACAATTGACAAAATGAACACAATTTTTTTTAACATGAAAACTATTTTGCTACAGGATTTTAAATAAATGCTGTAGTATAAGGAAATAGAAAGCTAAAGAGGTTTTTTTATAAATTAAGTTTAAAAAATAATTCAGGATATTGATCAATATAGTGATCAGCAAGGACTTTAGCAGACTAGCAATGAAAGAGGGTTCCCTTTTCTTTGAATAGCAGGAGTAGTTTATCAGTGAAGAATGAGGCTTATCGCATCAGATATGACAATGATCAGAAGGGTTTTGCTTAACTCTACTTTTTGGGGAAGGAGTAATGTATATTTTCTTTTTTTTTTTTTAGGCAGTTGGGGTTAAGTGACTTGCCCAGGGTCACACAGCTACTGAGTGTCAAGTGTTTGCTCTGAGGCCAGATCTGAACTCAGGTCCTCCTGACTTCAGGGCTGGGGCTCTATCCATTGCACCATTTAGCTGCCCCTCTTGTATTGTTTACATGTCAAAGGAATAAGGTAATTCATTGAAAAGTGATTGCTCTATACAAAAAATAATATCAATACAGATGAAGAAACCAAAAGAGCAGAGGTCTTTTTTTAATTTTTACACATGATGAAGAAACGTGACCAAGAAAATAGCCTTGTAAAAAGATTCAGAATTGAGTTAATCATCTCATTCAAAGAACAATCACTAGTGGATTGATATGAACTTGATAGGAATCAAGAATAGAGTGTCCCAGAGATTGGCTCTTGGCCTTTTCTTTTATGAAATATCTGTATTCAACTTTTCCAATGGTAAGGAAACAAAATGAAAACAGAACAACTTAAGGTCTTACAGCTATAAAGTGGTAGCTCTGATGTATGTTCTGTATCCTCTTCCAATGCTTTTTTCCACTGAATGAAGTATTGAGGATATAATCTACATTGAGGTTGCATTATAAGTTCCCTTAAGTTACTTCAGCTAAGGAAGGAGGGACAGAAACAAAGACAGAGAGTCAGACATAGACATTGACAGAGAGGGAAGCAGATAGTTAAAGCTGAGAAAGAAAGACAGAGTGACAGAGACAAACACAGTAACAGAATAGAAGGAAAAGAGTGACAGAGAGACAGATAAAAAGAAAGAGATTGAAAAAGAGACAAATGAAGCAAGAGAAAGTAGCAGCTAGAGGACAGAGACAGAGGGGGAGGGACAGATACAGAAAGAGGGACTGTGAGGTAGTGGTGGATGTCAAATGCACAAAGGCAGAAATGGCATTGCCATATTTGGTGGTCTAAGATCAGTTTTAAGAATCTCAGTGTCATCTCTCACAGAGACGGTAAGTGACTTCCTTATGGAAAGATAGATAATAAGGTTGAATTGTGGAATTTGAACCAGTATCTGCATCAAGAGCCAGTAATCTTCTCATTGTATCAATTTAACACACTAAGGAAGCAGATAGCTAAAAGGGACATTGTAATGGATCAAAGGACATTTTTTAAAGAGGGATAACATTTGGTTAACTCTATTGTTCTCAGGACTTCATCAGCAGTATTCGTTCTCTTGGCATCTACCATTTGTAAAGAAACAAGTATTTTCCTACTATTGCCTGGTTTCCCCCACCTCTCACATATATCAGGTCTGCCTGAGCTATATTCAAGTTCAGGCTCAAGTTTAAATATCCGAACTATTAAAATTTTCCCCTATACGTTTGTCTTATTTGTCCAGTGAATAATTCTCAGGTAGGCTACTTTGAAAATGACCTGATCAAGATTCCACACTAACGTGTGAAAAAGAGAAAATGGCTTGATGAATGAAAAAGTATTAAAGTGTGATAATTTATTACTACAATTGTTGATTGTCTATATTTGGAATTTTATGCATATCAGCTAAAGAAATATTTTAGAGCATAGTACATATTCCTCAATTCATATCGGAGGCAATCTACTCTACCTAACAAATATTTATTGAATGCTTACTATGTGCAGGATTCAGTTCAAGATAGATAAAATTGTGTAAGACAGGTCCATTGACTTTAAGGTCATATGCAGTACCAAGCATATGATAGATATATGGAAAATATCGTTGAGATTAGGCAGTGGGCATTTGCTAGTTGATAAATATCTGGTAGAGATCTTATGATAACGTAGTTCAAGAAAAGGAGAATTGATTTTGTCTGGTATGGCAAGAAAAGTCTACACAGCAGAATGGAGAGAAATAAGATAGATATTTTTCTATGCCATATCTTCTCTGAAGAACATGGTTCCTGTTGTCAGGGAAATAGGGCTAAATATTTTGTAGAATATGGTGTAAAATTTTAAATGTGGTGTAGAGTGATGCTCCTTTTGATATTGATGAGATTAATGATAATTTCACCTAAGAATAATGGTTTTAGCAGAGACCATGGTATAAGACAGGGGTGGGGAACCTGTGGCCTCAAGGCCACATGTGACCCTCCAGGTCCTTGGGTGCGGTTTTTGACTGAGTCTAAGTTTTACGGAACAAATCCTTTTATTAAGAGTATTTGTTTTGTGAAGTTTGGATTCAGTCAAAGGGCAGCACTTGAGGATCTAGAGGACCACAGTTTACCCACCCCCGGTATAGGATAAACACTGACCAATCACTTATTGGTTAATTTTGAGCTTTTCCTCAGGAATATAGAATGTTAGAGTTTTGACAGAAATTGAAGACTATAACACAGATAGTTGGGGTTGGTAATGAAAACTTGAAATTAAATCTAAGATGGGAGTGAGTACTCAAGTCCAACTTTGACTGTTTGGCTGAGAGGGAAACTGAGGACCAGAGAAGGAAAATGATTGCTGCCTTCTGAATTCATCATTTCCACAGGCGGAAGAAAGACCTGATGGTGGAGGACAATCTCACACGTGTGACGGAGTTCATTCTCCTGGGATTTTCTGACCTTCCTAACCTCCAAGGGTTTCTCTTTGGGATTTTCTTAGTCATCTACCTAAGTATATTGACAGGAAATGGCCTCCTCATTGTCATAACTAAGACTAATCCTGCTTTCCAAACTCCCATGTATTTTTTCCTTTGGAACTTTTCCTTTTTGGAAATATGTTATGCATCAGTCACTCTCCCCAGAATGCTGGCAGATCTCTGGACCCAGAAGAGAATTATTTCATTCGTAGCGTGTGCTGTACAAGCTTGTTTCCTTTATATTCTGGGGGTGGCAGAGTGCTTGCTCCTGGCTGTGATGGCTTATGATCGTTATGTGGCCATTTGTAAGCCCCTGTTCTATCCTCTCATCATGAATCACAAGGTATGTGTCCAACTGGTTATGGTTTCATGGATAACTGGAGTCCCAATACTGATAGAAGAGACATACCAGACTTTTTCTCTGAACTTCTGTGGTCCAAACATAATCAATCACATCTTTTGTGATGCCCCACCTTTATTTGAATTGGCCTGTATGGACACATATAAGGTAAGGATCTCTGTCCAAGTTGTTGCTCTGCTATTCATCATAACTCCCTTTCTGTTGATACTTGCATCCTATATCAAAATCATAACTACCATCCTGAAATTGCCTTCAACCTCAGGGAGATCCAAAGCCTTCTCCACGTGTTCTTCTCACCTCATGGTTGTATGCTTATTCTATGGGTCTGGAAGTACTGTGTATTTGGGCCAAAAATCCAGTCACTCAGCAACATCAGGCAAAGTGCTTGCTCTTTTCTACACCACTGTGACCCCAATGTTTAACCCCCTGATATACAGCCTGAGAAATAAGGATGTCATTGCTGCACTCAAAAAGCTATTTCCTAAATGTCTCAGGTCATGAAACAATGAGCTAAATATTTAAATTTGATTTTCTCTAGTTATTCCACAAATAATAGAGAAATACATCTATTTTTATTGTTTTCATATCACTGACATTGCATACAAATAAGAGCCATGTTAGGTATTCTATTTTATAATACAGGAAAACTGCCTAATATTTTCATTTTTGTTTTGCTAGAATCCAACTGAGGTTGAGCAATAGTCTTTTATGGTAAATGATAGTAAATACCTATAGGCGTCTTGATTGCAGTCATACTACACTTTATATTATTTTCTTGGGGACTTTTCTCTTTAAAAACTATCAATATGTGTGTGTGTGAGAGAGAGAGAGACAGAGACAGAGAGACAGAGACAGAGACAGAGAGACAAAGATAGAGACAGAGACACAGAGAGATAGAGAGACAGTGACAAAGAAACAGAGAGAGATAGAGTTGAAGAGTTAGGGAGATGGAGATAGAAAAAGACCATGAGAGATACAGTGACAGAGACAAAGATGGATATAGAGACAGACATAGAAATATTACTTTCCTTGCTAGGGCATATAATTTGAAGCTTCTTAAAATGTCATTTTCTATTTTTGTGGTTTCCACAGGTCATTGTTTTAATTATGCTCTTTTAAATCAAGACACTGTGTCTTAGCCTTCAAAACCTTTTTCCTTTTTTGGTTCCACCGCTATTCCTTTAGTGATTGATTTTATTCTCTTTGGCCAAAGCAAACATTGAAAGAACAAAGGTATGAAGGATATCGTACTTGGTTTCAGTAACATTTTAACCAGTCCAGAGAACTTACAGCTTCGTTTCTGATGAATAACCATCTGGCCAATTTTATGATCCCAATTGCCAGTGTGTCTGCTTTTCATGTGTGGATATTTATTAATCTTATACAAATTGTTGGGCTATAATAATACAACAAAAAGAAATGGGGAGAATAAGAGACAGTACAGAACCTTGCCCCTCAGCCGTGCTCTGTTTTAAGGAGAGCAGATGTTTCAATTTCTCTGTCTAATGGAAGACCTCCTGATTCCAAAACTGACTTGAAATACTTACTAGGTGTGTGTCCCTGCACACGTCACTTCATCCTGTTTGCCTCAGTAACTCATCTGTCAAATGACCTGGAGAAATCAATGGCAAACCACTCCAGCATCTTTGCTGAGTAAACCCCACATTAAGTCATGGAGAGTTGAACACGACTGAAATGATGGGAAAATGGAAAGGCCAAATTACTGTAAGTGTAGTCTCCATTACTTTGTAATCTGTAAAATAAGCAGGACTTAGAGCTTACTGGGGGGAAAATCACTTTATGAAACTCTCAGGAAAGAAAAAAAAAGAGTAAAGTGGTATGTTTGATAGTATAGTCTTTTTTAGTCTTTAAAATGTTAATTTACAGAATCTTGTGTATATGGTAACTCAGAGTCTGTTCCTGTATGGATCTTCAAAAGAATCCCTCTACAATTGCTTAGAGGTACATGGTTCATCCAAGTTTGACTGAAATATATGGAGTTAGGGATTG